TGAGTCAACTCCTTTAACATGCAGCATTCTAAACACTTAATGTTTTGCATGCAATCTTTTAAAAAAAAATACTGTGCTTTCCACAAAAAAAGTTTAACTGGATACAAACTACACACAGACAGTAAGACTTGAGTTGAACTACATAAAGTTGAACTACATAAAAATATTTCTGTGTGCTCATATTTTGGCAAAGGAGATGAACGTCAGAGATAGAACACTTAAGAGGGTGACAAGTTATACTCAGGATTTGTGTCAACTATGGACAGCATCCTTTGGGTTATGCTAAGAATGCTCTAAACATGTTTTAAAAGAGTATATCTAAAACTGCCCCCAAAGTTTAAAATAATGACTTAATTTTAAGGGGTTCACCTTTAGGAATAAAAAAAAAACAGTTTTGTTTAAATTCTGTGTTTAACGTTTTGCTCTTCCACTGAGCTTAGTAGCTGAGAATAGCTATGATTATTCAGTCTTTTTACTAGATAAATTCCTTATCTGTCAGCATAGGTTGTAATTGTATTCTATAATGAATTTTAATGCCTAAACATATCTCTTTTAAATTATGAAAATTCATTTGAATAAAATCTTTGAAAAATTCTCTGTTGGTTAATCCTTGAATATTTTCAGTACCTAGAGGAGTTTGATGGATGGGTGGATGGAAGCCTATGTAAAGAATGGATTCTCAAGTTAAAAGCAAGATGGTTTCATTATAGAGAATTTCAAATGAGAATGCCTAGGAGGAAGGAAGGCAGAAACTCATATGGTCATTATTGGTCACTAAAGGGAGCTGCAAAAATACAGATACATTTGAACAGAGTAATTTCATTTCGTAGAATCACAGTCCAGAAAAAAAACACTGAGGAATTACTTAATAATTATTGTATTTGCCTCAAGGCAAAATTGAATGTAAAGAAAGACGTAATTTATGAGAGTAGGGAGTTGGGTACCAGTAAGAAGCCTAACAGATGAGAATTATAGTACTTAAGGTATCAGGTGGCATAATGTATTATTACTTTTTTCAGTTCTAGAAAGAAGAAAAAAAAAGGATCTGGATTATAGTTTTAGAATTTAAGGAGGGTAGACTTGTTTTCACACAGTGATTTTTCTTTATTTTAAAAGAAATCTTTCTCATATTACCTAACACTGTAGGGCATATATATCTTGTTACATTTGACATAGTTTGTTCTTCTCTACATCTCTGTATCTCTGTCTTCCCACCTCTCTGCTGGGGATCAAATGAAGGTCTTGCACATACTAGGCAAACATCCTATCACTGAACTACATCTTCAGCCACTCCCTTACCCTAACTTTTAACATTATGGAATGCTGCAGAAGCTTTAATTTTTATACAATGTCAATGAAATTTTACTTTAAGAAGACTAAGCAAAGGTTAAATATAAAAATAACAGAAATAACTATTTAAAAAGCGTAAGCCTCCCCTGCCCCCTTAATATTATTTGGGAGAAAAGCATTCAACCAAAAGACAACATAATTCTACAAAGAATTTGGTTTGACAGCTGTACAAAAAGCCAAGCATGGGTCTGTATGTAGCACATATGCACAAGGAATCACAATGACACAGAACATGGAAACACTTTAAAATATAGCAGTTGAATGGTGTGGCTCCTACAAGAGCTAAGAAAGTCCCCCCTTAGTCCTCTACATACCACACATATATGCAACACTGCACGAGACACAGTAGTGGAATGAGTAAAGATGAGGGACTGGGAAGCCAGGCTACCACAAAATGTCATCAATGAGTTAACATTCTAAGACTACACAAAGAGTCCTTTTATTTTCCAAAGAAGGGAGGGGCAGGGTCACAATAGAAATCTGATTCACTGTGCTCAACAGTCAAAACAACACAGAACTCAACATTCAAGACAAAAACAGACCTTTATTTTCTTTTATAGTTTTCAATTGGTTTTCTTGATTTTTCTCAGATGAATATCAATTAAGTCTACAGGGCTACGGTTGCAGCTGAAAACATGAAAGCACCTTTATTTTCTTCTCTTTTTTGCCCTCTTCTTCATCTCCTTCACATTTCCCTTCAGGGTTCCTTCTCTTCTCAAATTTTGATTTTTCTTCTCTTAGAAGAAGCTTGGTTTGGAAGATGAGGCAAATACTTGGTGAGGCCTGCTTTCCAACTGAATTTCTTTCAATGTGCCAGTTCAGCCTTTGGAACACTGGCTAAAAACGAGCTCTTTTGCAATGAGTGAGTATTTCTGAAAATTGGTAAAGTGTAGACCACATTCAAATAAAAGGACATATATAGGAACCTTCTGTGATTCCCACTGAGAAAGTATATCACTGCTGCAATGACATTTTAATTGGTATCTAATTTATTCACGAAATATGGAACTATGAAGGAATAAAAATTCCCCAAACTGTATTTACATTTATAGCATAAAAACTTGTCCTGTATCAGATCATACATTAGAAAAATTCCATTTTATTAAAGCAGAGAACACTTACAAAGTCCCTTTTCTTATATAAAAAATCATTGACTGGTGGATTTGATGGTCAAAATGAAGATATTAATTTGCATTCTATGCAAAGGGATAATTCTTTCTGGCTGTACCATACTTGGCAGGAGTGAAAAAAAAAGTTCCTCTTTGGTGTCATTCATATTTTAGGACTCTAGGAACACAGGTAAGAATCACAATAATTCATTGGTTCTCTGCTGGTTGCATACAATTACCAGGTCGTTAACAAAATAAAGATTAGCTAATGAAAAATACTAGTTTTTTTGTAATATCTTGAAACTCCTTATAAGCACATTATAATGTATTTCTTAATTGTTCCAAAATTTTTGTTTAATGTATTCTATGCATTTAGGCTCAGTGGTTTCCAAACTTGTTTGATTGTTCACCCTTATAAGCTAAAACACTTGTGTTGTTCATAATGTATAAACATTTAGTAGTCTATATCAGTATATGCTATAAATATACACAAAAGAAACTGAAAAGAGATATAAAACCTGAGAACATCCCATTACTTTTTTCCTGTATGTTAATAGATTCTCTTTCAAAGATCTATAGTGTAAACAGAATTTGTGTCACTGCCATTTGCATTTCCCATTATCTATATGCCATAATGCCTCATGCTCTCAGCAAATTCAAATGGAGTGAGAGTTTTCTTTACTTTATAAATAAAACACTCCAAAGAAGATTCCCTATTAGGTGACTGTGTAATTACTAAAAGTCAGTAAGTATATTTTTCTTTGGTGAAAACTAAGGACAATAAAACCTCACTCTTGTTTTCTGATTTTCCTGCCACTGCAATAACAGTGTTAAAGCAGAGTGAAAGATGAAAACAAAACCAAGAAATATATCAATTGGGCTCTGAAGCCAACAATGGGAAATGCATTCTTGGTTCATGTTTTGGAAGATAATTGTATTCTTTCATAGAAACAGTTGTTCTTTCTGCAACACAGCTGTTTAATGATCAAAGAAGGTTGGGAAAGTTTAAATTACAAATGATAGAGAAGGCTAGACATAGTATGATTAGTCATCAGTCAAATCTGACTGGTATTTGTTCTTATACGACCAGAAAGCTTCTAAGCTGATCATATCAAGTATGTGGAACACTATTTTTGTCCCAAAGGATAACTGTCATTCACATTGTGATGGCAGGACTATTTTTATGAATACTAATTTACGATCTTGTCACAGAGAATAACTTATTTATTTGTAAGGTGATAGACTTTTAGCGACGTTAATGTCTTTGTAAGTTTTATCACTAAAAGTGATTAAATAACCAGTGGTTTACACCATAACTTGAATTATTTTAAAACACTAGCTATTTTAACTGAGGCCTTTATATCAATCAACTTGCTATGCCTAATTTTGTAAAACCTGGGAGGAAGGGAAGGCAGAGCTTATTATATTAGAAGAAGATTTTACAAGCTAGCTTTTAGTTTTTCCTTTGTAGCCAATTATTTAATAATTAGAAACCATTTACTTTCTTTTAGGCAAAATAATAACACTCATACATTACTATTAGGCAATAGTTTCTCGGGTAGAAAAAAAAATTGATTTTAATGAGTAAAATTTCCTTCTTTGAAGAGTACCAAATAAATGGATCTATCTATGTTTCTATGGTTTTCTTTTCTCTTTAGATAAGGTAAAGCCTGTACTTATATTAAGTATGTCCAGTGCCTATAACTGTCAATTCTTTTACAACAGTAAGCTTTACTTCCATAAGGCTGTGATAAAATAAATAAAGCTAAAGCTTATTTTACACATTTTCCTTTAAGTATTTCTGCCAAATTATGTAGTTTAACAAGAATTACATGACAGTGGTTGTATTTTCAGGGTACATTTTTTTAAAATGATGAATAATATAAATGGCAGAATGTTGGCATTCTTAGTACTGATTTACTAACCCTTAAGAAGGGATGGCTTTTTGAAAGGCAAACAAAGAAATGATTGACAGAATACAGATTTACCCACATAATTTAGAAAATGTAACCAATAAAATTGGAAGTCTAAGGCAGGAATTCATAATAGGGACAACTTCAAAGCCAAACTAAGGGATAATTTTATTTGAAAGTTAATACACAGTCACCATACTCATTAATGATAAAACCCCCTAAAATTTTTGAGATCATAGAATTTTACTAGGATTTAAACAGGGAGCATGACCCAAGAAAATTTCATTAATATTAAATGCCAATAAAATAAATTTGACTTATTTCTATATACCAAGAACCACCATTCTTTAGATATACGTAAAAACACATTAAAATGGTTAGAGCACAGAGGCAATTATAAGGCAGATCAATGTGATTTTTATTCACAACACAAATTTCATTTGTGAGAAAGAAGCATAGATTTTTTTTTTCTCATTAGAAAGATTTGCTATCAAGCATTCTTAGCAAATTATTTAGCTAACTAAAAAGATCTGGTACCAACTGGTAATATTTTTATTTTTAAGTAATTTATATTTTTACAGGTATTCATATTATGCAATACCACACACTGCAGCAACAGGAAGAAAAACATTTCTTAATACAATATTAAATTATTTTTTCACTGCACAGTATGAAATATCCATTAATTAGCATTAAATTATTACAGTGTATCTTATCCAACTAAAGGAAATTTCACATCTATTACAGAAGAAAAATAAGCAATATTGAGCCACAGGGGACCCAGTTACATAGTATTAAATAATATCTGAAGCTAGTTTAAAAGACATCCAGACAAAATACTTTTTCAAATATGGAAAACCATAGCCTATAGATTTGCAATATTTTACAGAAAAAGACTAGCTCATTCCAGCTTAAGAGGCGACATCACTTCTATGTAAGTGCCAAGAAAAGGGAGAAAGTTAGGATTTTAGCTGAGGAATCTAATAAAGCCTGGTATGAGTAATTTCCTTCATTGGTGTCACTGAAAGCAGTCTGCCTTACACCTGACTATGCTTTAATAATAGAATAAACATATGAGTTTCGGAGCAGGGTGTGTACACCTTGCCTTAATAGATTACACTTAATTTAGTATAATACAGCATGTCAAATTTTTAAAATGCAAATACACTTAACACAGATTTTGCTTCCACTGCTTTGCCTTAACCAGGACAAGAGTCCATTAAACAGACAGAATTTTCTAATTATCGGTGCTGATCCCTCTCTTCCTGTTGTCAGGAGAACACAACTGAAGTGTCGCCATAGAGCCCTTGCCCAGTCAAGACCCTTTACCCTCTGTTCTCCCATAGAAAGGGCAGTTTTTGGCTACTGTGTTCCATCTTGATTGGCTTTGGTCTTATGCTAGTCCCACTGTCGAATGCTCCAATTCTTCTTAAGAGTGGCCTGCCCTCTTAATATCCCTTTACGGAGGCCCCAAATCCACAACACTTGATGATCTAAGCTTTTTACAAGTCTGTTTTCTGTTATAAACAGCAAGGACGAGGCCATTTTAGTTGCTTGCAAGAGGTTGATGTTGAGTCTGCGCCGTGCCGACTCTCTTCCATCTAAATTCTCTAAACATTAGCTTATCAATCTGTGATTCCAATGGTTGAGTGCCAACAGAAGTGGATCCGATTTGGCATGGAGAGGTTCTACCAACTCTCGCAGTGTATTAGCCTAATATAATAAAGCAGTGATACAATATGATGAAAGACCTGCGAGTGCCATTATTCCAAAGCACATCAGTATTTGTATTAGAAATACCATCATGCAGTACCCATGAAGAGAAAACAGAAAAAAAATATGCCTAGAACTGCCCATGGTTGTAATACCATAATGTCTTTCAGTTGGCATGCAAGTCTACTTGGCCATAAAGGGGACCAATTTTGATTTAGTTTGATTGTTTGGAGTGCCAATCTTCCAACTATATACAACAATAAACACACAAATCTTTTCCCACCTCTAACTTGTACATACACATCTATAGTTTGACTCAGAAAAGTCCACTAAAGGACTCTCCACACAGATGCAAAACCACCAGTCTTTTAAAAAAAAATCAAAATGGATTTCTATGTTTTCCTCATTTTCACTCAGTCAGAAGGCTGTCTTACAGCTTTGACACAAATGCTACTACTGTCCTGTTCCAGAGAAAGTAGCCTAGCTCGTTTTGTTCTGATTAGGAAGCCTCACAGTAAATGATACAAAGTGAAAAGAAACAATACACATGACAAAAAGATGACTTTATATCTGAGCATTCGCCACACAACAAGATGTTTAGAAACTGGAAGAGAATAATGTTTTTGAATGACTGGAAAAATGAAGAAGAATTCAGATAAAATATAGTCTGTATTTATTGACTTTATTTTGCATCTTCAGGAATCCGAATATGGTCAGCAGGCACATATCAGCAATATTTAAAGCATAACGTAGAATTTTATTTGCTGTGTTTTTGGTTATATCCCCAGAAGAAACAAAGTGAGAGAAGGATCAGAGAAAATATTCTATTACTATATCTCTTGGAAAATGGGAAGGGAAAATAACTGATATTAAAAAATACAGTGTATTTCAATAACCAGCAGCAGAAAGGGGGATCAGAGCTAAGTAATTTTTCTATGTTGGTCAAGTGAAATAACATATAATACATCATCATTTAAAGGATTATAATGCTGGAAACCTATCTTAGGTTCTACCACTCTTTAATAAATACTATCTGGTATGGGATTTCGGGCTGAAAATTTTGAGGTAATCTAAACTGGAGCATAAAGACATATCTCAATTTAAACTGTCATTAACTTTTCTATGTAATTAAAATATTTTATAAGTTGTTTCAGACATATTCATTATTTCCTTCTAGAAAAATATTATATGAACACTTTCATTTTTGATATATTCCCTAATGGACATTTAATCCATACTAAACTAAACTAGAACCCTGGTAATCAAGGGTTGTTGGGAGCCAATGGTCTGCCAGGCTGTTTTGCTATTTTGACCAGCGGAAAGACTGCTTTCAGCCTGGCCTTCCCTGGAGTCTTGTTAAGTTCACACCTTTTGTTTATGTGAGGATCACATGGACAGGTGGTCAGGTAAAGAAGTTTTGACTTCCCTGTGAATTCATTCATTGTACTAAGGTGCTTTTATTCTGACTTAAAAGGGTCAGTCTGGAATAAAGCAGTGGCTAGTGTCTACTAGGGCCCTCTGGGAAAGATCCCATGTGTTGTGTGTTGGTTTATTAATTTTTCTTTCAATCCTCACTCCTGACTCAAGAACCAGTTGACTCTGCAGGCTGGCTCCGGCAAAGAGTGGTTTAATTACACTTAAATATTGTTTGTATAAGATCACTGAATTTTATTACAGGATACTGGAAAATATCTCCCCAGTTTAGTCCCTTGTCAGAGTAAAAGATTGTGGGGTAGAATCACTATTTCAAAATGGTAAGATCTCAGTAACAATCTGTTAATATTATCATGAAAGAAGGTAACTCCCCGAAGAAAGGTATCTCTTCAAATGTTTGTGGGAAAATACCACTGAATAGAGCCCTTAAGGATGGAGGTATTTGTTAAATACACATTTCTATGCATTACTTCTTACCTACTGGATCAGAATTCCTGAGTACGGAATGCTAGAATTTGAATTTTATACAAGTTAATGACTCTTCTCCCCACTGCAGTTTGAGATTTGCTTTAGGAAATTTGCATCGGTAAGGGCTACTCAAAGGGTAGAGTTCCTTAAAGTGACATCAGTGGCTATCCTGCATATGCAAGTAGTTTCTAAATCATTAGCCTTGAGATTGGAGATGTCATATAGAATTTTACGTCAGCTCTTCCATCAGTGGAACACTGTATCACTCAGCTAAAACAAGATCAGTTTTTTTTTTTTTTTTTTTTTTTTTTTTTTTTGCTGAAAAATGTGTTGGAAATATCTTGGTCACTTAAAATTATGAAAAACTAAAGAAGTCTTGATAAACTTCTTGAATAAATGCTATTTTTACTTTTAAAAATTTATTTATATTTTTATAAATTACAGTTTATTCACTTTGTATCCCTGCTGTAGCACCCTTCCTCATCCCCTCCCAATCCTACCCTCCCTCCCTTATCTCTTCCTATGTCCCTCCTCATGTCCACTGATAGGTGAGGTCTTTTCCTTCCATCTGATCCTAGTCTATCAGGTCTCATCAGGACTGGCTGCATTGTTTTTTTCTCTTTGGCCTGGTAAGGCTGCTCCCCCATCAGACTGAGGTGATCAAAGAGCCAGCCACTAAGTTCATGTCAGAAACAGTCCCTGTTCCCTTTACTAGGTAACTCACTGAGGCTGAGCTTCTATGGGCTACATCTGTGCAGGGCTTCTAGGTTATCTCCATGAGTGGTCCTTCTTTGGAGTATCAGTCTCAGAAAAGACCCCTGTGCCCAGAATTTTTTGATCTGTTGCTCTCTTTGTGGAGTCTCTGTCTCCTCCAGGTCTTCTTCTCTTCCCCTTCTTTTGTAAGATTCCCGGCACTCTGCCCAAAGTTTGGCTGAGTCTCAGCATCTCCTTCAATACTTTGCTGGGTAAAGTCTTTCAATGGCCCTCTGTGGTGGGCTCCTGTCCTGTTCCCTGTTTTCTTCCTCTTCTGATGTCCATCCCCTTTGCCTTTCTGCATAAGGATTGATCATCTGGGCCCAGGGTCTTTTCTGAGACTGATATTCCAACCAAAGACCATGCATGGAGATAACCTAGAACCCTGCACAGATATAGCCCAGGCTATAGCCCCAGATATAACCCCCTTCCTCATCCCCTTCCAATCCCACCCTTTCTACCACTTCTCCCCTATGCCCATCCCATAGTCCACTGATAGGGGAGGTCCTCCTCCCTTTCCATCTGACCCTATCTTTCAGGTCTCATCAGAACTGGCTGCACTGTCTTCTTCTGTGCCTGACAAGGCTGTTCCCTCATAAAGGGGAGGTGATCAGAGAGCCAGCCATTGAGTTCATGTCAGAGACAGTTCCTGTTCCCTTTACTAGGACATCCACTTGGACACTGAGCTGCCATGGGCTACATCTGTGCAGGAGTTCTAGGTCCTTTCTATACATGGACCTTGGTTGGAGTATCAGTCTCTGCAGAGCCCCTGCGTACCCAGGGTTTTTTTTTTTTTTTTTGGCTCTGTTGGTCTCCCTGTGGAACTCTTGTCTCCTCCAGGTCTTTCTATCTCCCTCTTCTGCACTCTGCCCAAAGTAGGGCTATGAATCTCAGCATCTGCTTTGATCTCTTACTGGGTAGAGTCTTTCAAAGGCCCTCTGTGGAAGTCTCCTGTAAGGTTCTGTGTCTTCTCCTACTTCTAATGTCTATCCTGTTTGCCCTTCTGAATGAGGATTAAGCATCTTCCCTAGCGTCCTCCTTTAAAGTTAAAAAAATAAAAAATAAAAAAATAAAAAGCAGGTGGCACAATTAGACTAAAAAGAAAAAAATACCATCTGTAATTTTTATAGCATATAAATTCATTTTGACCAAAACAGGAATGATTAAAGATAAATGAGAAAAATGGAAAAAAAAGTTGCTTCATTATTTTTATTTAATAAAATGGAAGTTAGGAGTTGAGAAAAATCTTTATGTTTGTGACCCAAGAACAGAATTTTCATAATAAAATGCTCCATTTCAAAATAAAATGAGAAATAGTAGAAATTAATATAATTTATAGCTACATTATAGACCTTAGTGGGTTTGAGTAAAATATTTTGTGAACCTAGATGCATGGCATAACCTAGAACCCCTGCACAGATGTAGCCCATGGCAGCTCAGTATCCAAGTGCATTCCCTAGTAATAGGAGAAGGGACTGTCTCTGACATGAACTTAGGAGCTGGCTCTTCGATCATCTCCCCCTGATGGGGGTGCAGCCTTACCAGGCCACAGAGGAAGACAATACAGCCAGTCTTGATGAGACCTGATAGGCTAGGGTCAGATGGAAGGGGCAGAAGACCTCCCCTATCAGTGGACTAGGTGAGGGGCATAAGAGAAGAAGAGGGAGGAAGGGTGAGATTGGGAGGGGGCGAGGGAGGTAGCTAAAGCTAGGATACAAAGTGAATAAATAAATAAAATATTTTGTTAACTTAGATAGAGGCAAAATATTCTCAGATATTCAAAATGTTCTTCTTCTAAGTTTCAAAACCACAATTTCATCCTATTTGTGTAATTCATAGGAGATGGAACATTTCGTTATGGAAGTGGGACTTAATCTTGATGTACATAGAGCTGTGACCTCAGAGTATAGCATTTACTTAGTGCGGATACTCCTCCCATGCTGACTGTGTGCTTTAAAAATCAAAATGACTATTTGAAGGAACTGAACACCTAAAATAGTTATCTCCCTTTCAGTGTTGGAGATTGAAAGATTTTATGTAGTCTAAGCATTCACTCTACCCCTGTTAGACTCCAGCCTAAAATGCCCTTAATAAATGAAGCTTTGATATTAGCAATAAGTGAAAAGGTCTTGGAAGTTTAAGAGTCACATAAGTACTAAGTACATAAATTCAATTACTATCATTCTATTTTCAAAGATGTGATTACTGATATTTTAGAGAAAACATACTAATTTTTGATCACATTTCACTGTTTGCTATTCAGATTTTAAAATGGAAAGTGAGAAAAAATTTAAAATTCATTTATTTATTCACTTTACATCTCTATTCAAGGCCCCTCCCTCCTC